GGATAGTGACACTTACACGCGTATGCTCTGTAGTCGACTTTGTGTTGAGTGTGCAATCCCTGCTCCGAAGACTCCCGTTCTAATACGACATAACACGTGACTTGATAGATAGCCGACCTGATCATGTTCGTGTCATTAAAAGATTTCGTTTGGATCAGGGGACGTTAAAATAAAACTGGGCATTGTCAGTCAGGATAAGAAAAAGATTCTAATTCAACAAGAGAAGTTGAGGCTAAAAAATTCCGGTACGTTAAAACAATATGTGCATGAGTAGAGCTCGCCCCTATGGTAGGGGATAGGCCCCAATGGTGGGCAAGAAAAAGATTCTAATACGACACAACACAACCTATGACTTGATAGAAATAAAAACTAGTTACGTGTAACAAAAACAACACTCATAAAAGCATATAGTAAAAGAATACAACTTGATCTATTGCTTAAACTATGGAAGTCAACGACCTAAACTGAGAGAACGAAACTTATGCGTGTAAGGCTGTAAGCTACATAGTAGATTGTAGCATGTGATGGCATAATTTTGTTAGTCCCGTTTATGCGATTTTTTTCATTAACTAATTATTTCAAGCATTGTGAGAAATTATCTTTACGAAAAAATTTTCCGAATCAATTATTTTTCACAAAATAAACGATGGAACTTTAGTGTCTTTTACATTGCCTCTCTAGCTGATCGAATAGTTGGACCATCTCAATTTGTGGAACCAAGTTCTTGGGACCTGTCGCCACTGCCCCTTCAAAAAGAATTAGTATAAGGTGAAGAGAGTTTAGCTAGCGCATAGGAAGATTTTTTGTTTCGGTTCTTAACCAGGGGATTCTCTTGGATCCTTAGTGTTCAGTTAAGAGGTAATATCACCAAAGTGGCGCCGGTTGCTCAATTGGATTAGCGTTTTGCCCTGGGATAGCAGACAACGGTCCAGCCCTATTTTGATTTGAAGAGCCAGTTGGCTGGGTCTTGTGACCTATCTACCAAAGTAACTTAATAAAATGGTAGACGTGGCCAAAAGGTGGTCGAACGGCAATGAGAACTCACACCTTTATTCTAGGAAACCATGTTGTTGCTGGCCTGACATCTAATTGCCCTGGGGGAAGCCCCACAACCTGTCACCATCATGTGAGGCGGATTTTATGGATGCATTCCTTATTTTAAGGTATAGGTGTCCACATGCCTCGTACCTTCAATTTTCCCTATATCTTTGCATTTCCCATGGAAAAATAATACCCTCTTGAAGTTTTACATTCCGGTAATCTCGAGATCCAAACGAGGACCGAGATTAAGCATTTAAGGACCTACCAGGTCCATAGCCAGCGTATAGGAAGGTCTTCATTTCAGTTCAGATCTGGTTGTGCTCCTGCGCCTTTTCGGTGCGGGCTTTCTTTTCCGCCGGTTTGGATTTTTGGTGAGATGCTATCTGCATTGGCTTTATATCTGTTGGGGCTTTCTCCTCAGTTCAGTAGCTGGTGTGTTTAGCTTTCTCTTCTTCCCTTCTCTCCAAATTTGGAGAAATAGCCAATTGGAAACGCGTAAATACCGGGCAAAATTTACTGGAAAGACATGTTATCGACGAGCCACGAACTCGCGGGAGGAATATAAACAAGACCTCGAGAGGTCCAAAAGTCCGGACTCAACGAACACGGGTCGCGGTTATCGCCGAAACATCATCACTTTGGACATGTACAGTTGCACACCGTGAAGTGGGGAATGTGATAGGCGGGGCTTTGGTTCACTTTTTCACAAATGTCTTGTTTGGAGTTTGTACTCTACTCGTAAGGAAACTTGAAAAACGAGACGAGCAGGGACTTGTTGCTGGGACTAATGTCTCGGCCTTTCACCCGTGCGAGATCTTGCTCGAGCATGAAAGTCGATTTATTACAACCGGCGCGATTGTTTGTACCTGCGTGACTTTGTCCTTGTCCATTGTGATAGGACTGATCGTTGCTAATGATCACACTTAGGGAATACTAATCGCCCGTCGATTTGTCTAGGCCGCCCTCAAAAGTCACAAATCCTTGGGCTTTTGTAATTGTCCCGTGCAACTGCACGAATTGTTCGAGATTTTTTCATCCTTAACCGAACCAAACTAATAAAATTTTTTACTTTTACCAAGCCAATAACTTTGGTTTGTTATCGGTTTGGTCTAATTTCGAATTGTTTTCATCAAGCCGATTTACAAATAAAAAAGTTTAAAATGCACCAAAAGTTTTAAAACATATCGCAAAAGTACAATCGAGTCCAAAAACTTTAAAAACTAAAACTTGATAAGTTGATACATTCAAGTATATTTATTAACTCTATCTAATTTGGCTAACAAAAAATAACGGTTTAGTTTTTTCTATTACTTTCTTAGGACATGTGCTGTCGATATGGCCGGCGCCCACCGAGCGCCACGTAAGAAAAACTAAAAAAATTAAGAAAAGAAAAAAATGATAAAAATTTAAAAAAGAAAGAAAGAAAAATAGGATAAAAGAAAAAAAGAATGAGAATGAAAAAAAAAAAAACAAAGCTTAGCATTAAAAAAGAAGAAGGGCAAACTGTCTTCATTCCTCGGCCCGGAAAAGGGTTTGTTAGTTTATTTAGTAAAAATCCGCCAGTCGAGCCCCTTCGGGATCCGAGTCAGCGAATTCCGTTGACTTTTGCTCGCATCGGACAGCGGTCAACGCACCATGGATTGCGCTGTTGTGTCGGGCTCCGTCGTCATCTTCGTCAAGTCGGACACGGTGCCGGCCTGTGAATCACCCCTTCAGATAGCCCCGCTCCTCGTTTGCTGCGCCGTCATTCGCTTGCAACTGCTGTGCCAACTGGCAGTGCTCGATTCAGTTTCGACATAAAGCAAGGTCGCTCTCTCCCTCTCTCTCTCTCTCTCTCTAGCGTACTTAGTTGCAGGATGCGTTCGGGATGAATTTGTTAAGTATCGAATGCACTGTTGTAGTTTGCTTTTTGCTGGTAGTGGTGTGACTCGGGACGGTCCGAGCTTCAAATGGGATTTTTTTTTTTTGGCTGGGTCTTTGATGGGTTTGGGCTAAAAATAACTGTCTCTGGTTCAGGAGTTTGTCAGTCCATCAAGTTTACTGATGTTTCTAGATACAGTTGAATTAGGTGGCAGTGGGTAGGTTTTGGCACGGGTTTGGGGTCGTTCTGTGGCCATACAGATGTAGATGCTCGACCGATGTCACCCAATCTCGCACTCTAGCCGGGAAGCTCTGAAGGCTATGTTCTTGTTCCCGGAACTAGTCATTTTTCTGGTTAGGCGAATGCTGGCCACCCGGCTTTTTTTATACGTGATGCAGATTAAAGGGTACTCGGAAAATGTTGATGGGCTGAAGGCATCTGCTGAAAATAAATCGAATTGAATTGAATTCGGTGATTGGAAGTCAAAGTTTAGCGATCATATTGCAAGCTTCATTAAAGTACAACGAGCATAGATAGGACTTACCCGTAGTAGGAGTTTGTTTTCGTCTGCCTTTTCTCTTGCATAGGCAAGTTATTGTGTGCTCTTAGGATATTCAGACGTACAAGTTGAGAAGACCATCTTCGCTCTCGAAACTTCAGTTTTTATCCAAAGCTACTACTAAGTCGTTGAGGAAGCGTCGAGAGAAACACTACAGATGGTCCTCTTCTAGTTTTTCCTTAGTTTTGCATAACATAGGTAAAAAATGGAAGAATTAGGGATGCATCTTGTGTCAGAACAGTAAAATAAGAGATATTTTGCTTTATTCACTCGCTGAAGCAAATATTGGTGTGCAATTTCAAAAAATATGCAGCAACTTTTAGTAACCAGGGGCTTCTTGATGCATGTTCATCTTTAATGATCATTTATGTCCACTTTTTGAGTTAATGCAGCTGTATACGTGTAGGCTAGACATTTTTCTCGGTTCTCGTAGAAGTATCAGTTCAGTTGAAAATGATAGTGACTAAGCGGAGCTGAAATTGATGTAAAGTGTGAGGTAGGTTTGGCACTACATATCTCTCGGTGCAAGCCAAAACCCATCAAGTAATGACCTTTTTGAGACCATCACCTTCTTGGGTACTGATTTGGTGGTAATGGTATTTCAATACATTAACTTCACATGCAAGAAATAGTTGTGGACCTCGATAGAGGTGATCCAAGACCACTTGGCACTTATTATGTTCCGTAAGAATGAGGATGTTTTTATTTCAGCTTCTAAAGCTTTCCAACGTGCAAAGCTTCCTCATGTGAAGACAATATGTGAATTTCAGAAGCACTAAAATGTTCGTCAGGAAAGCTACTGAATTTCCAGATTTTGAATTTCCAGATCATGGACCATCATGATCACGACTTTGTAGAGGGTGGAAGTGCCTAGTTCATCAGACATTGGTGGTCCAAGCAAGGCTTTGATTCTAATCTCTAAAATTGGAATTTCAGGCCTAAAGTGATTACTTTGATCTGTAATAATTGTGTAAACATTTCCACCAATTAGAGTCATGTTTGTGGTTGCTTCGATAAATGAAGACTTATTAATGAAGATAATCCCTGATGGCTATCCGATAGCTAGGTTCTTTAGTTTTCCTCACCGTTATTTCTCACACAGTTGAAATTTAGCTCTATATTTCTTTAGTAAAATTAGATTGAAAAAGATAACTATGACCATATTGTGTAGCAACCTTAAACGTTGAATACACTTGCGCCTATCACTTTAATTATATCAACGTTTCTTTTAGCAATTTCTGCCATTTTACTCTTACACCCCACAATCAGGGAAACCAACCATTTGATAATGGTCTACTTTTTTGGTTTATTAAAGTATCTCTTGTCCAGATGTATGAACCATTGACCAGGGACAAATGGTGTTAAAACCTTGAATTTTACCCTTGATCTTTTGATGTTCTAAATCACTGTGATGTACTAAATTAAGACAGAAGGAACATCCCTCATGTGTTCTGTTTTGAACGTGTAGGTCTTCTCTTAATGCTTCAGGGCTCCTAAAATCATAGTTACTTTCGTCTTGACATTTAATATAACGTGGAAATGAAGAAATCTGTGGTACTTCTTGCTGTTCCTCTTCTCGTCATTTGTTGCTTAAGTCATGTGAGATCAGATTTGCTGGAGCATAGGTACAAAGTTGACGATTCAGTTCCTCTTTACATTAACAAAGTTGGTCCTTTTCACAATCCAAGGTAATTATCTACCTGTCAATAAACTCTTCGCATTCTCAATAATTATGGTGGGTTTATGTGGTGCAGGAAGCTAGCTTTTCATTTTCTAGAAAAGTGTAGAGTGCATGCTAAGCATGATGTATCTAGAGGATCCAATGAAGTATGAGTTGTATGCTTGCAGTCAGCTAAGATCATTTTTGTTTAAATGCTGCAATTTGTGGTTCAATAACATGTTCTACTGCTGGAAATATATACATTGTCTTTGCGTTTATCAAATCTATATAGTTCTTTCCTCTTAATGATGTGGCTGTATATGCTTCCTTACTTCCTGTTCGTGTGATGGTTACAGTGAAACATATGGTTATTACAGTCTTCCATTTTGTCGACCAGGTTAGCATTGAAACGTGTACCTAAGTTTTGTTTAAGGTTCAAGTGCCTCACTTTCATCCTTTTCCCCGATTATGTATACATGTCCTATCTTTCCTTAATTCTTTGCACTTTCATGATGACAGATCATTTGGAGGGGAAGCAGGAGACTCTTGGTGAGATATTGAATGGAGATCGCCTAGTAACTGCTCCATACAATGTTAAATTTCTACAGCGGAAGGATGGAGAGGTTGCATGTGCAAAGAAGTTGACAAGTGAAGAAGTCTCTCAAATTCAAGCTGCAATCAAGCAGGATTATTTATTTCAGATGTACTGTGATGACTTGCCAATCTGGGGATTTGTTGGAAGGGTTGACAGTTCATCAACAAATGATTCAGAGCACAAATATTTGCTTTACCAGCATTTCGAATTTGAAATCTTTTTCAATAAGGATCAAATAATAGAGACTCATCTGTTGATGCGCCCTAATGAGGCAGTGGAGTTGACTGAAGGCAGGGAAATGGACATAAAGCTACTGTACAGTGTGCATTGGATAGAAACAAACGCACATTTCCATGAAAGGATGAAGAAGTATTCAGCGGCGCGCCATTCCACAAGACACCTTTTTTCAATTATAAATTCATGTGTGACGTTTCTGATTCTGTTTGGATGCCTTTTAATTTACTATATGAGAGTTATCCGGAAGGATTTCTATGAGTAAGGGTGCAAGCATTTGTCAACTTCTTTTCCTTGTTCTTATTCTGTCCTCTCAATCTATGCTATGGAGTATGTGTTTTTTACAAGTTTGATCGCTTGGCAGTTTCATGCCTGAAGACGCAGCAGTAGACAGAGAGCAGACAGGATGGAAGTGCATCCGCTCTGATGTCTTCCGGTACCCAAAGCACAGGTCTTTGTTTGCTGCAGCCCTCGGTTCTGGTGCTCAGTTGTGCATTATGTGAGTTTCTTAACCAATCAAGGTGTCTGAGATCATTTTACTCAACAGGCCGATCGGCAGTCCTCTAACTTCTTGTGTTCTAAACTTCTGATTATTTACAATCTTTTTTCTCAGAGCCACATTTACTTTACTACTTGGGCTTGTGGGTGTATTTTATCCATTCAACCGAGGAAATTCGTTCATAGCATTTATAGTCCTGTACACCATGACTTCTGGCTTTGCTGGATATTTAGCCGCCTTGTTCTACTGTCAGATTGAGGGAAAGAAGTGGGTATGTTCTAAAAGGCTATATCTTTAGCATCTCCATTTGAACACTTTCATTTTCATCATGAAACTTGAGCCTAATCTTCTGAGTTTTTACAACAGGGCAAAAATTTGCTGCTGACGGGGTCCTTATCTTCTGTGCCATTGTTTCTTATATTCTGCTTCCTTAATACTGTCGCGGTGTCTTACCAAGCAAATGCAGCACTTCCTCTAGGAACAATCTTGATATTACTGTTTATTTGGATAGCACTTGCATTACCGTTGCTTTTTCTTGGGGGGATATCTGGGAAAAAGAGCCATGGTGAGTTTCAAGCTTCTTGTGAGACCTCTAAGTGCCCCAGAGAGGTCCCGTCACTGCGATGGTACAGGGGCACTCTTCCACAAATGGTCCTGGCGGGTTTATTACCTTTTTCTACTATCTACATTCAGCTGTATTACATATTTGCCAGCTTGTGGGGTAATAGGGTCTATAATTATTATAGCACAATATTTGTCATCTTCATTATTCTGCTCATCACAACTTCGTTAATCACCGTGACTCTGACGCACTTTCAGCTAGCTGCTGAAGATCATCGATGGTGGTGGAGGTGCATCTCTCTCTCCCTCTCTCTCTCTCTCTCTCTCTCTCTCTCTCTCTCTCTAATACCAATTTTGAGTTGTAGGATTTACACTATCTGTTTAATTTCAGTCCTAACATATCAAGACATGAATGTGGTGCTCGCTTAACAAATGTTTGAATTTGAATTTTGATTGCAATTCTTTAACCAGGTTATCCTAGTCTCCTAGTCATAAATTTCGAGTGCTTGTAGTGTCATGGAATGTCAAGGACCCTTATTAAGTCTTGAGTCCCTTTGATGTTTATCGTGGATGACCTCTGAATTCATATGGAGATTAGCATAGAAACCCTTAAAAATGTTATTTTATCATGGTGCTTGAAAGCTGGCCGTTCTCAAAATTGTCATAGCTGTGCTATTTTATTGTTGTTTGCAAATGCAGCTAATACGTACGATGTGCATATTATCTGAATGATATCCTGTTTCTTGACATTGTCAGCATCCCAGGATTAGCCTTTTCCCTTTAATTGAAGGGTGTGTATTCCTTTCTATGGACTGAATCGATTATTTTACTCACTGTAGGTCCTTTCTATGTGGCGGATCAGTTGGTCTGTATGTCTATGGTTTCTGCTTTTATTACTACTATTGGAGATCGGACTTTTCCGGTTTCTTGCAACTCTCTTTCTTCTTCGGGTATATGGCCTGGATCTGCTATTGCATCTTCCTCATGTGTGGTTCCGTGGGGTTCTACACATCTCTGCTGTACGTCCGGCACATATACAGCTCTATCAAGAGCGACTAAGAGTGTTTATGCTCCAACAAAGCTTCAAAGTCCCATCACGTTCCTTCCTATGAATGAAATGTCATGAGGCGCAGTCTACTATGTCTGGTCAGGACATACCGTCGACTTGATCTTCCGTCTTAGCCTTTTCTGATACGTATAGATTCTGCCAGGGTTTTCCGATGACAGAACTAATGGAGTTAATTAACCATGTGCATTATAATGCGTCTGTCTTCACATCGACACATACATACACGCCGGCACGTAGTGACAATGCATACACACAATGATTTCCCTTCCCTTTGGGAGGCTCAGTTGCCTGTCTTCAGGGCTGTTTTTATCGTCTGCTGATGTATTTATAGTACTGAGACAAGTTCTCCTTGGTTGTCCTCCAGGTTAAAGCTGTTTAACTTCTTGAATACATTCACGAGAGTGCATCTTACGGCATGGGACATGTCACATTTTCGTACTCGGAATCCCGTCGGATGTACGTAATACCATGGAAGCCGGAGATTGCTCGTCCTCTGCAGCTTATGCAGACATCCTTTTCTCATCTAATTATACGTAGAAAAAAGTCATACCCAGTTGCATGTATCGCTGTTTCTCTTACGGGTTCTCAGCCACAGATTGACCCCAAATTGGTAGAGCCTTAGTGAGTATATATTCATAATCATGCAAGTAATAATATCTTATCATTCAGAAGAGCAAGTAAGAACAAGAAAAAGAGGAGAGAAAAAATGTTTGAGGGAAAAGTAAAACTGAATAGAAAGAAACAAGACAGAAACAACCTTACCAAAAAAAAAAAAAAAACAAGACAGAAACAAGGTGTGGCATGGCATTTTTAACGTTTGATCAATTTTCTATGATTCTTGTAAGCATTTCATTCAAAATGACATGGGTTTTGCACATGAGCTGAATTTGTAATGGTAATTATCCTCCCATCACCTTTGACTGTTAGTGTCAATTAGGTAATCAAAGTTGTGATTTTAGTTGATGATGCACAAGAATTGCGATCCAAAGATTTCAAATGCAAATCTACTGACAAAAACCATATATGAAAGAAAAAAAATTAAAGGATTGGAAAGATTTGTTTTGGCAAATAGTGATATGCTCGTTAATCATATCTAATAATGAGTATATTGATTTTCAAAGTATTGCTTACACAAAACGCCCAGGGCCACGGGCAAAATACGGCCAATTCAGACGAGATTGGGAAATGACATTCCAGAAATAAAATTTGGGTCCCGCTCACTCGACTCTCGGCTAGGTTTGCTGAGTCCAAAAATTAAAGGAAAATTGCCACAAATGATTCTTGAACTTTGATCTATTGTTCAATGTCGTTGTAGACTTTTAATTTGTTCAATTTAGTTCATGAACTATTGGTAAATATGCAATCTAATCATTGTTGATGTGTCTTCCTATCCCTGAAGTTTATACTGTGGACAAAAAAAAAGTTACCCATGAATTATCCCATTATGATATTCATCCCGAATCAAGATATATATAACCTGCATTATTAAATAATGATAGACGTGTTGACGCTCTAATATTCTTTTTTCCATTTCTAAAGTAGATGGATATGTTGACTCATCATTTATAATACTCCAACTTAGCTGATAATAATTCACGTCATCAAATGACGTCTAATTTGTCATTTGTGCAAATGGAAGGATTACACTGAATATTTATTAATAATTCAAGGATCAAATTGAACTAATGAAAAGTCCAGAGATGACATTTCATACTGGGCAAAATTTCAGGAATTTTTTATGTCATTTTCCCAAAGAGTAAAAGGCTAGGTTCAATTGAAGGACATGCTCAGTATTCATCTCCGTTTGATTCCTGTTACAAAATCCTCAAAAAATTATAGGGATAATGACATAATGATGTCGCCCTCGAACTTTTAACTAATTTAATACAGTCGTCAATGTTCAATCTAGTCCCTAAATTATATGAAAATGTTCAATGAACATTCAACATTAAAGTTTGTAGAACTAAATTAAACATGTACCAAAAATTTAGCGGCCACATTAAACAAAATAAAAGATCAGGGACAACATTACGCATTTGATTAAAGTTAAAGAACCACATATGAACAAATTAAAAGTTAGGGTGGGGCCATTTGCGTCGTTCCCCCAAAATACTATCATATCATCCGGGACCAAACTGGAAGCCTATGAAATTCCAAGGACCACGATGCAATTTTCAGAAGAAACAAAAAAAAAATCGATTTTCACTAATATCTTTCGCTTTTTTCTTCTCGTTTCTTTCTTCGTCTCCTTCTTCTTCATCTCTTCTTCTCCGGATCTTCTTCCGTTTCATCACTTCTCTCTGCTCAGAGTTCGTTCGTTCGTCCGTTCCGCTCGCCGTAGACGAGCAGCGAAAAACCCCGAGGTGGATCGTCGTCTTGCCGCATCTCCGGCGAAAGCACCATGACGAAGAAGCCATCCGGCGGTGGCCTCCTCGCGATCTCGCTCGCGGTCGCCTTCTTCGCGATCGGCGCCAGATCCGGCGCCTCCGACCACCGCTACAAGGACGGCGAGGCCGTCCCGCTCTACGCCAACAAGGTCGGGCCTTTCCACAACCCTAGGTAAGCTACCCGTCCTCGCCCGTCGATCGGTTCGGCTCCTCTTCCGCTTGCTAGGTTTGCGTTGCGATAGATCTTCCGTCGTTCGGATCTGTTGCGGCTGTGAAGCTCGTTTTGGACTGCGATGTCTGTTTCGTTCGCGTCTCGGTTCGCTCGATGCACTGTGCGGCGTTTGCGGATTGTGCTTTCTTTTTTTTGTCGCCGCCCTAAGCTGATGCTGAGCTATGTGCTCGTTTTTTTTTCGTAATTTGCAGCGAAACCTACCGCTTCTTTGATCTGCCGTTTTGCTCTCCAGGTGCGCCTCGCATCTCTCTTTATTCCTCACGAAGCGGTTTTAGGTTCTATCTTGACTGGACGTTTGTAGTAAGATGAGTGATTTGTGAGTGATGTGATGCTTTCATTGACAAATGAAGAAAGGACTAATTTTTCGCTTGATTCTCCCTTACCACTGAGCTGAATCAAGTGTTTCAGTTTAATTTATTCTGTGCAAATTACTGCCGTGTGGAGTCGCTTAGCTGTTAATTTCAAGTTAGCTTTGTGACCGTGTGAGCTTTTTCGGATCCTCTTTTGCCTGAAGCAGAAGATCGGGCTGAATTATAGGGTCGTGTTGAACGGGGAGTTTGTGCCGGGGAAAGCACTTTTGTCAGGAATTATGGGAAACACCTCTTCTGGAAATTAACGGAAATGAATCATTCACGATATTCATGTCAAACTGTGAGACTTTTAGGGTGGCGCTTGTAATGAAATTTGTTATTATCCTTAAATATTAGAGGGTTTTTGACTCTATGGAAGCTCCGTAGTTCATTATAGGAAGAAGGAAGTCAAGAGAATGCCCGAGTCATAACAATCTTATCGGTGAAAAAAAAGGAGATGTCACAAGTTCAGTTAACGAGGGCTGGAAAGTGGAAACTGTGATTGAATTGTCCTAATTTAAGGTCTCTGATCCTTTGAAGCCACAACAGCAAAATAACTGCCATTAGCCTTCATCATTATGGCGGCCAAATGTAGTTCAAGGATTATATGGTCTTATAGTGGGTTCCATCGCCATTTTGGATGGATATCTAAGATGTTGACTTTCTGAAGTGAATGCAGTCTAAAAGTAAATTAAATGTGTCGTAGAGAAGAAGGGAGTAGTTATCTTGTATAAAATTGTGCATGGTGAGAATTTTTATGGTTTTGCTTCCTTTTTCCCCCCGGGGGGGGGCGAGATGATTTTAGAGAAAAGAAACCGGAAGAAAGGGGGGGGGGGTTGGAGAGAGAGGCCTTTTCTCTCCCTACCATTGATCAGCTTAGGATCTTTTCTTGTGAGAATAATTCGCTTGTGCTAACAATGCTATCATTTGTCAGAAAATGTGAAGGACAAACCAGAAGCTCTTGGTGAGGTACTCAATGGAGATCGGCTTGTCAGTGCTCCCTATAAACTTAACTTCAAGGAGGAGCATGACTCCAAAGCTGTTTGCAAAACGAAGCTATCAAAGGAGGAAGTTGCCAGGTTTAGAGCTGCTGTTAAAAAGGACTACTACTTCCAGATGTACTATGATGACTTACCAATTTGGGGATTCATAGGGAAGGTTGATAAGGAAGGGAAAACTGATCCGAGCGAGTACAAATACTTCCTCTTCAAACACATACAATTTGATATTCTCTATAACAAGGATCGGGTGATCGAAATTAGCGCTAAGATGGACCCACATTCTGTGGTGGACCTAACAGAGGACAAGAATGTTGATGTGGAGTTTATGTACACCGTGAAATGGAAGGAAACAGATACTCCTTTTGAGAAAAGAATGGACAAGTACTCACATTCTTCATCATTGCCACATCACTTGGAAATCCATTGGTTCTCAATTATCAATTCATGTGTAACGGTTCTCCTCTTGACTGGTTTCCTTGCAACAATTCTCATGCGAGTGCTCAAAAATGATTTTGTCAAGTAAGTTTTCCATTTGACTACATTGTAAGGATTTATTTTGAGTTCGTTATTCTTATTTGTTTCAGGATCATTTCAATTTCATTTTGTTTCGTTTTATGTAGGTATGCGCAGGATGAGGAAGCAGCTGATGACCAAGAGGAGACTGGATGGAAGTACATTCATGGAGATGTATTTCGTTATCCAAAGCACAAATCTTTATTTGCTGCAGCCCTTGGTTCTGGCACTCAGCTGTTTACACTGTAAGGACCTTTTTGTATGTGAACTTGTGAATCATTGGCTTTTCTTTTTTCTAGAATTCTTTTGACTTCTATCCAATTGTCTTAATGCTCAGAACGGTGTTCATATTCATGCTTGCCCTGGTTGGTGTGTTTTATCCTTATAACCGAGGGGCACTGTTCACTGCACTGGTGGTCATCTATGCACTCACCTCGGGGATTGCCGGATATACAGCTACCTCTTTCTATTGCCAGCTTGAGGGACCAAACTGGGTATTTGACAGCATTTTGCTTGTGTGATGTTAGCTTTTACGTAAAAAACTTTCTTGTATGACCTGATGATGTGGGCTGATTTGACTCTCCAACTGGGCTTTGTAGGTGAGGAATCTGTTGCTGACAGGTTGCCTTTTCTGTGGACCACTCTTCCTTACTTTCTGCTTCCTTAACACTGTTGCTATTGGCTACAATTCTACGGCGGCATTACCTTTTGGTACTATTGTGGTCATATTCCTCATATGGACACTGGTCACAGCTCCCTTGCTTGTATTGGGTGGGATTGCTGGCAAAAATAGCAAGGCTGAGTTTCAAGCTCCTTGTCGCACCACAAAGTATCCTCGGGAGATTCCTCCACTGCCTTGGTATCGGAGTACAGTTCCTCAAATGGCAATGGCAGGCTTCCTTCCTTTCA